AGCAATCCTGCAGCAGCGTTCTGCTGTACGGATCACTCTCTGGAGAGCTTTTTGGTCCTTCACACAGCTGTTCCCGAACCACGATGTTATGTTCTGTGTGAGGATGCTCTCCACAGCGCCTGTATAGAAAATCCTGAGGATCTTTGGAGAGACCCTGAACTTCCTCAGTTGTCGTAGGTGATACAGGCGCTGCCTAGCCTTTTTGGTCTGGACCTGAATGTGGGCAGCCCATGTCAGGTCTGAGGAGATGTGGACACCAAGATACTTGAAGGACTGCACTAAGGACACACTATTCTAGTGTTCATAACACACAAACACGTTTCTGTCTTCCTAATAGGACATAGGGTGCTGGTTTGAAAGCTAGAAACCAGCACAAAAACGATTTACTGAAATTAAATGAAGAAATTAATCACCAACATAAACCACTATCCTCTAAACAGACACATTAAAACGTTAACTACCCGTGTGTGATGTCTGCATTTTTCTGTTATGGCTCTTAATTCATGCTGATTTCCTTAATTGACACACTTTAAGAAGCCTTGATTTAGAGAGAGTGAGATATTTCCTGTTGCTGTGCATGTAGGTGTGTGAACAAATTAAAACAATGAAATTAACTTTCTGCAGCATTCAGGAGGCCACTATTGATGTAAATGTGAGAAATTTCGAAAGAATGAGAAAGCAAAGGCACACGCACACAAACACACAGTCTCGGAGCGAGTATCTGTAAAATCCTAAAAGGATGTGGCCTCTGTTGGGTGTTTCATCTCTGTGCCACCATTGTTAAGTAGAAATTGGATTTTTTTTTTTTTTTATGTGTATGCGCAAAGATGCATGAGCATGCGAGTGCCTGTGACGGGGAGGAGAATGTTGTTGATTGTCTGGTGAAAGCCCAAAGGGCTTCCTTATGTAATTGAACTTAGTTGCTGCACTCAGATGAATCGCCAAGCCAATAAAACCTATTAGAATTGAATTGCATGAGAGAGTGTGCAAGATGGAGAGAGAGAGAAAGAAAGAGAGAGATGGAGATGGGGAAATAAGTATTATAGTTTTCATATACTTAACACATGTGCATGCACGTGTATGCATGTGAGGCGGCTCGTTTCTGTGAAATACAGAAAGAAGCGAACAGTGGGAAGAATGCAAACTGGAAACTGATTTACAGAAAGTTGCATGGAAAGCAAAAGCAAGGGACAAAAAGATGAAAGGGTGGGCACACGGTGAGATAGAGAAGGATATTAGGTGACCAGGGATTAGTCTGTCTCCTCGACTGTTGTAATGAGCCGTCAGGGTAATTGGAATGAAAAAAAAAAAAAACAGACCTCCACTTAATGAAGAGAGACTTTCAAAAAAAATAGAATGAGAAGGAAAGTGTAAAAAGGTTAGAGGCAGGGGGCCGAAGAAGCTAGACTGAGATAAAGCCGAGTCGTTTTAGTTTTAAAAAAGAAAAGCTTCAGTCCTATTTTCTTTCACTTGTGACAATGCACCTGACATCCGAGTAAATTTTCTATGAGTTTTCAGGTAATCAGTGTCGACCTTTATGGTCACAGTAGTGGACCTTCGACCTATGTCTAAGCACTCAGTGCGCTAAAAGATAACTGGCTAGACAAGCAGTGCTTTGGGCTAAGCCCTTAAAATAAAGAACACTGAACATGAAAGAATAACAGGGCTCATCCAAAATGGTGGTACCGTATCCTCAGGCGCACTACTGTGAGAATGAGATACGAGGAGAAACGTCATTATCGCAAGTGCCGCCTCATCCATCCCTCGAAATAACATGGGCTGTGTGCCTGATTGGCAGGCGTATAGTGTTAATGAATAACAATATGATGTGGGGAAAAAAGGACGCTATCGGCCAAGAGAACGACAGCTGTATGGCATTCTCCTTAATTAAGTTGAAGAGAGGCAGTGAGGGAACGCAGTCACAGAGGAATGAAACCAGAGAGCCAGCTGAGGCAGCCAAATGAAGGGAAGTGGAGAAGTGGACAAAATGGGTTGGGGAGCGAGGGTGAGGGAAAAAAAAGAGTTTTGTTGATAAAGAAAGAAGAAAAGATGAGTGAGACTGGAAAAAATAAGAAAAAAGTTTAAAATAGTGAGCGGGGAACATTTCTTTTTTCATGATAGTCAAAAGAAATTAATCAGCGACCAGTTAATTGGTGCAGTGACCTCAGCAATTAATCTTCCGCTCTTAGGCTCAAATGAAATCTACATGCATCCACACACACACATACAAAAGCATATAACATACAGCAACTCATACACTAAAGAGAGATTTTCTATCAAATTCGATTTGTTCCACTCTCCATTTTACTTTATTTTTCCCGCAGATAACTCTTCATCTTTTGCACAAAATACATTATGCATCATGTAAGTCACGAACACAAGAGAACACCAAGGCTAGTCTTGAAGAAAGGGAAAAAAGGCAGTAGTGGGGGAGGTATTGTGCTGACATAAGAGGAGTGCAAAAAGAGATTGATGATCTCAGGGCCGGTGGGAGAAAGAGAGAAGAGACAGAGGAATACTTACCAATAAATTACTCCTGAACAGAAAGGGCAGCGTGTGTGCTTGTGTGCATGTGTGTGTGCAATTAGGCATTTGTGTGTAAGGACATGTACACTGAGTATGCGTGTTTTCATGCACAAGTGCATTTTCCTCTATTACAAAATAACTTCAGTGTGTGTGTGTGTGTGTGTGTGCGCGCCCTACACTGAGCACATAGACTTCCTTGCATGTTGCAGTTTTATATAAATTGTCTGATGAAGTGGCGTATTATTCATTCTGAAAGTGCTGATGCACACACACTCACGCCACCATCTCCCTTTTAGTTCTTGTCAGCCATTATTTTTTATCTTTAACAGCACTGAACTTGTCTTTTTCTACCTCTCTACCTACCATTGTGTCTTAGCCATTGATTTGGAGAATGTGTCAAGATCCAAGCTATTGTTCAGCATTGAATGAGACAGTCCCTGCATGGCACTGTTCCATTGGGAATGCATCTGTCACAGACAATGTCTCTGTCTCTCCTGCCATTGTACCATAGAAAATGTGTCAGTGATAGAGAATGTGTTCCTATATATTCCAATTGCTTCACAGATGAATGCCAGTCTGCCAGGTGTAATTCTCATCAGCTGCCACTTTAAAGCATGTTTTTCACATCGTGAGCATCTTTAACCTCCTTAGCTGGTATATAACCTGCCAAAGAACATTGGTAATGTGTTTGTTTATCACTTTTCATGGGTCAGAATATATTTCTTTTTGAAATCTGCATACATTTTGGGGGGAAATGATTACTAATGTTGATATTTTAGTGTTTGAAACAACTGCAGCCACAGAAACGAAAGAAGCATGTGTCATGTTTTACATCCAGTACTAACTTTACTACAAAACACCTTTTAAAATGTCCCTCTGTGTTGTATTTGTATGTCTGTGTTTATCCCATTCCCTGTCTGCCTGTAGATAATGTGTCTGTCACTACCATGGTCCCTTCCACTCCTACTCCTACCACCCCACCAATCACCTCCCATTCTACCACCCCAACCCTCCTACCACCCACCTTGGCCCTGGATCCAGAAGGTAACACACATGCATATCTTTCTTTTCTGGCTTTGCTGCACCCCAATGGGAAAACAGATAACTATGACCTGCAAGGAAGAGATCACATCTGGGTTAGCCTAATTCTTTTCTCCAAAATGACTATACTTAAGTTTAGGGGTTTTTTTTCTAGCTTACCTTTTAAAATTTATTATGGATTTACTACAGAAAATATTTTGTATTTTTAAACATGGAGCCAAAGAACAGTATAATTAGTAGACTATAATCCCTTTGAGCAGTTGTCCACATCAAAGTAGCAGTACTTGTTGTTGCCACTGAAAGCCTCATGCTTTCTATACATTCTATGTCTTTCATTGTGGCCATTACTAAGGTGTTCAAGTGGATTGTCATTTAATTGCAGGATATCAGCCCTATTCATTGTCCCTCCACATTTCCCATAGCACTGTGATGCAGTGCTACATGGATTA